TATTTTTTCTATTACTTTCCCACTAAGCTTTAAACCTTTTGTAATATTTATTTCATTAGTTAAATTATCTATACTTTCTTTTATTTTTCTTTTTTTACTCCAATTAACCATTTTTCCCCCTAATAATTGCAACTCTGACTTTAAGTTTTCTAATTCTTTTTCTTTAGTTTCTAATGTCTTTAGATGCTCCTTAAATTCTTTTTCTAATTGTTCATTATTATCGTAATCCATCATTTCCTTTGCATCAATTTTTTTAACATCTCTTAACCAAGCACAATAATCACTATCGTCAACTTTCATCCCGACTTTTAACCACTCTTCGCAAGCATCTTTAGTGAATCCTAATTCTATCCATTTTTGGGTTGCCTCTTCTGCAAATTTCGAAAATAGATTGCCATCATCCCTCCACTTTAAACTAAATCGTTGAGTTCATTTTGTTTTTAGTCTTAAATTTGCTATTTTTGCTTCTTTTACTTTGTTCATCAAATTCACGTTAACTGCTCTTCACGCTCGATAATCATAACTAGAAGAACATTGATCTTGCGAAAATTTTTCCTGTAAAAATCTACAACCGGCCTCGGGTCGATTGTTTACCTTACAATAAATTTTTTCTAAGTTGGCAGGCAAATGCTCCAAACCAGAATCGATATCAGTGTCAATAATTTCCAATTCTTTTAACTTGGCTATATTTTTCAAAAACATTAAAGAACCATACCAACGATTATAAATACCTTGGTTGATTTTTTCCTTAACTTGTTCCGGATATCAACCGCAATTCCCTAAGTGCAACAATTCTAAGTTGACATAGTTGGTTAGAAAGGACAAATCTTGGGCAAAAAAGTTGTTACCATTTAGAATTAGTATTATAAGTTTGTCCTTAATAGAAGGTAAAGTAATTTCTTCAAGCAAGTTTCCGTGACAGTGTATTTCACTTAATGAGTTATTCTGACTAAAATCTAAACCAACTAACTGGTTTTCTGAACAATCAATTAACGTTAAATTAGGACAACTACTAATTTCCAGATTGATTAGTTGGTTACCAGTACACCAAATTGATTCCAACTGCGAACAATTATTAATGTTTAGAGAAGTTAGTTTGTTATAAGAGCAGTTCAGTGATCTTAGATTGACAAAGTCCGAGAGGTCTAATTCTCCTTCAAGATTTTCCGAACTAATGCCTAATTTTGTTGTGTTTTCTCTAGCTTCTGTAGTTGGATATTGTTTACAGATGTACTTTTGAGCCTGAACTAGTTTCATAATTTTAACCTTTTCCAGCTGAGTTTTTATAATTAACTTAGCTTCGTCCACACAAGTGGAAATATATACTTTTATGTCTCCGTATCCATCATAAGTAAAGTCGCTTAAGTCCAATTCACCCTCTAAACCGGGTTCATTGAGGTAAATTTCTCTAACTTTATTTCTTTTTTCTTTGGGATATTTTTGGTCTAATCAATCCTGAACACCTTTTTTAATTTTAATTCAATTAATAAATTCTTTTCTTAATTCTTGCAAATTCAAGTTATGACAAGGGTTATACCCTTTTCACTTTAAGTAATTAACAAGAGAAACTTCATCAGGTTTTAGACCTGTTTTTATTCACTGCTTAGTTTCTTGATAACTGAAGTCATTTTCTTCTCATTCTCGTCGTAATTGTGAGGTAAAGCGTGAATCTTGGTTTCACTTTCAAGCTTGAAAATCATAGCATTTATCGTTCTCATCTTTTCCCTGAAACTTGTAAGGATCTAAAGTAACTTGCAATTTAGCCAATTGATTATCATCCAGACAAGTTTGGCAGTAGATTTCTCTGATATTTTCGGGCAAATTTTCTAGGTCGGTGTCGACATAAGTGTTGTTGATATGAAGCAACTTCAATTTGGTTAGATTCTGCAGTGGCTTTAAACTACCAAAGAAACGATTGTACTCACCTTTTTCAATATTTTCTTTATAATCATTACCAATGAATAACTTTTCCAAATTAATGAATCTACTAAAAATCGATAGATCGTGTTCAACCAAATTATTGTTTCTTATGCTCAATTCAGTTAACTTTTTTGGGTTCAAAGGGTAATTTATTTTAGTCAATTGATTATCGCGGCAAAGAAGTAATTTCAATCGATTCAAATTAGTTAAATCAAGGCTAGTGAGTCTATTGTCACTACAAATAAGTTCTTCTAGTTTCGGTAGGTTAGTTAAATCGAGTTTGGTCAGTTGATTACCATAACAATAAACTCTTTTTAAGTTTAGGCATTTACTTACGTTTAAAGAAATCAATTTACTTTTTAACTCTTCTCCGTCAATTATCAATGTTTCTAAATTAGGATATTCGCGTAAATCTAGCTTTCCACCGTCTATTTCTTCAAGAGGATTGTTTTCATCAATGATAATTTCTTTTACTTTTTCTTTATCTTCCACACTCAGACATGTTTTATTCAACCATTCTTGAAATTCAATATTTTCTTCCGCTCCACTATTATTAGAAAGTCGTTTAACTTCTTTTTTTCTGTCGCTACCCAAACACCCTCAGTAATCAAAATATTTGAGTATACTTTTTAGTGGGCTCATAATTAAATTTACTTTACTTTTGTTATATATTATACAACTTCTTTCTCTTTTAGAGAATTTGAACTTATAAAAACCTCTCTTCTTAAAGTTAACTTAACACCCGAGAATAAGAGAATTCTTTCTGTTAATGGCGTGTTTCTTTTTTCCTCCGCAACCTTAATTTCTCAGCAATTTTTATCGCAAAAAATACAAAAATTTTCCCTTCTATTTTCTGGATACGAATCTGAAAGAGAATTTGCTAGGGATTTTAGCTAATTTTTTTTGCTATAAAATTGTTAAAATAAAAGGTTTATAATATAGAATAAGAATAAAAAAAATATGATTTTTAGAAATTTAGTTAGTTGGATGGTTTATTCCGGTTTAAAACAAGAAACTACTTTAGATAATCAGTGGGTGGTAACTCTGGTTTCTACTTTAATTGTAGTTTTTCTTCTTTACCAACTGCTTAAGGGAATTGGGTGAATTATTAAGTATTTTTTTCGCTTAGGACGCAAACAGGTCTTTTCTTCTGGTTAGACCTTAAAGAATAAAGAACCGAGCGGGAGCAGGAGTGAAAACTAACTAACGCTCACCTATTTATTTTTTAAACAATTTGTCCGTATACCTATGTCCGCCACGCCCATTAAATTCTCTGGTAACTTCTTAAATACCAAATTGTTAAGGGAATTAGCGTGTTCTCATCTTGTCAACAATCCTTAACCGAGGAAAAAACTAGCCGGCGAAACCAAATCGTCAAAGAGGAATACAGACCCCAGTTTTTTACCGTCTAAAATTTTGGTTGCGGACCGTGGCAGCACAAATATTGTCAACCCCGCAAGCCGCAGCCAAGTTTCGACATCCAAGTAAACGATTAGCAATTGATAAGACAATTGTCAGAAGCGCTATTTAAGAATATGAAAAACCAACAATTTAAATACGAAATCAAAAATAATCGGCTATGACATAACAAGGCCGAAATAACTAGCAAGCAAGCCAACAATTCCCGTGATTGACTTTTTATTTTACAAAAAGAAAAGCCCCGACATTGAATTCGGCTGAAATTAAAAAGGGACAAACAATGATTAAAAGTTTTTGCTAAACGTCCGGATAAACAAGGAGTACCGCATTATTTTGAGCAATGACATCAAATCACGGACTTAGACCAACCCCTTAGTTTCCAATTAACTCCCGCCGACGAAGTGGTTAAACAAGCCGACGGGCGGTGAGGAAAGATTAACAAAAAGTAGTCTGATAGAAGTTATGAAAACTAACGAAAACGAAAAACCAAAAATCGGTTTAACCTGAGTCGAATTAGAGAAAGAATTAACCAAGCGTAATTTTGTGGTCCCAACCGAACACCAAGCTAATTTACTAAATTGAGCCCAATTCTGATACCAAGGACCTGAGTATTTAACCGAATTAACTGCCGAGATTGCGGAAATGGGTAAATGTCCAGGTTGCCAAATGCCCGAGTATGTTATTCACCAGGAATACGAAGCAAGGAATATGAAAAGCCACTTAATTTGTAGTGGTTGCCAAAAAAAGTGCGACGGGGGCATATATAAACGAGACAACGATTATTATTCTTTCCGTCATCCCCAGTGTGGGGCTTATGTTTTTTGGCTACGGAATGGCGAAAGCACCGAGGAATGATATTGTGCAAATTGCAAATTCGAATTATTATGCGGTGATTGTGGATCTCCTCACGAATTAGATACTGATTTGTTTGGTAAGCCGGAAGGAGCTAACTTTTATCTCTGCGAGAGTTGCACGATAAAAAGAGAAGAAGAACCGCACCAGGAAAATCATGCCTTCGAGCCCAATTTAGATTGCAGTCTTTGCCAACAATGAGCCGAAAGGTGAGAAGAACTAATAGCTGCCCGCGAGAAAAACTAGTGAGAACCTCTGAAGAGGTTCTGCTTCCACTTTAACAAGTTGTCAATTGGTCACTCCAAGCAAACAACACCATTTTATTTAACCATTTATGAAAACTAACGAAAATCAACCAAAAATTACCGAAAAAGAAAAAGAGAAAAAATATTGAGAGAACGCTTTCACTATTTTCGGGAAAACTCTTGAAGAATTGAAATTTATGCTTTTCCAAGAAAGAGAGCATTGGAGTAAGTATAAAATTTGAAAAACTAATCCCCATAATGTCGAAAACATAAAAGCTGCAATTAAGCATTTGAAAAAAACGGGTGAAGAAAAAACCACCAAGAATTATTACAGTTTCAAGTAAAGAATATGAACAAGCAAAAATTAAAAAAACAAGTAGGTATCTTAATTGCCGCAAGTGAAAATTACTTAGTCCAAATTAAGGAGTGGGTTACCGAACTGAAAAAAATTTACCGGAAGGAAGCTGACCGCTGAACCGAGGAAAATATTAGCGATATTGAGAACATTGTTAATGCTTTGAAGGATATACTCGTCTTTGGTGATTTGGAAAACGAAATACCCACTTTGTCAGAAAGTTTAGAAAATTATGAAAAAAAGTAAAAAAATTAAAGATTTAGAATTGGATTTGCGAATTATCTTGGGGAAAATTAGTCTTTTGGATAAACAAACAGAAACTTCAAACCGAGATTATCATTTTTACCAAAAAATTGCGGTTTTATTAGACCGAGTCCGAGAGATTTTAAGTGATAAATACTCTGGGAATACCGAAGAAACTTGACCCACCAAAGGATTATTGAGCTTATTAAGAGAGAAAAAATATGCCATTCACCAAAGAACAATTAAGAGAAAATTGACAAAAGAACAAAGAAAAATATAACCAACAAAAACGAGAAAAAAGAAGGTTAGCCAAACTCGGGTTAGCCGCTTCCGATCAGGTTAGCCATGAGGAATTAAAAACGGCTAACCTAGAATTAAATGTGGTTAAGGAGGTGGTTGAACAAATCGAGAGGGTTAGCCAGGTTGAATCTGAAAAAAGTATACAACCATCAGAGGTTAGCCGTTTAACCATGGCCAACCCAGAAAATGATGTTGAGACGGATGCTCAGGTTAGCCACAACCAAGTCGAACAAATAGAATTCCGAGATAAGGTTAGCCGTGTTATACCCGAAAATGCCAAACTTCCTAATGAAGACCGCCAAACTTTTTCTGATGTAAAAACCAAAAAACAGGTGAAACAAAAACCCGAAACAATTAAGGTTAGCCGTATTGTTCCTGATGAATTTATTGATAAAAGCAATGTCCCAAGAAAAATAGTTGAGGGTCAAAAATATGTTTATATTAATGGTCGTTGAGAGCCCAAGGTATGAAGTTTTGAAATTGGGCTTTGAAAAGATAGGGGCCAATCTTAATTTTTTTACTTCCGAATGGATTGTTGCCGAGAAGGAGAGATGTCGCGAATACTGGAAGGGCAAGCCTAATGAATAATAACTCATCCGGAAGCGGAACCAGCGGACAGGTTTTATTGCGGGAGAAAAAACTTAAACTGGAAAGAGCATCTGCGGCTGTTGA